CTAGTTTTGTCCTCCCAAAGAAAGATGATTGGAAAAATAATGAATATTTTTAAAAAGGAGTTTTCAGACATTTCTGTTAGTAATAGCAGACTTGTTGGAATCTCTTCAAGTTATGGTTTTTGTTTTGTTTTGATTTCCTTTAGACTGGTATGACTTTTGTGTGTAATTGTTTTATTGCCAATAGTTTTGTATGGTTTACTTCCACATAGCTGACTTTTTTCCTATGCTCTTTGAACAGAAAAGAAGCCCAGAAATGTTTCTGTGGATCAGCCAATTGCCGGGGTTACCTGGGAGGAGAAAACAGAGTCAGCATCAGAGCAGCAGGAGGAAAAATGAAGAAGGAACGATCCCGTAAGAAGGATTCAGTAAGTTTGCATTCTTCTTTCAATTTTCACATTAAAAAATTTAAAAAGCGAGGTGGCTTTTCTGATTGAAGGTTATAAAGTCATACTACTGCCACCAGCCACCAGAGAAATCCAAGATCAGATGAATTGTTACCAGAAGAGATGCAGTTGCTATTTTTATTTCAGATTCATAGAGATTGGAATTGGGTACTGAGAACTATTAAAGTATTATTGAAAACACCTGGACTAATAGTTTTTCAGATTCTTTAAAACTCTTAAGTACAAGTAAAACATATCTTTTCTCCCTGATAGCTCACTATGTCTGCTGTACATTTCTAATCCCTTGTTATTGGTTTGTCTTTGTTTGGTACTCTAAACTTTGAGTGTTCTTCACATCTCTGAAAACCCTCTTTTGAGTGTGAGAAAAGTTTTGAGAGAAAATAGGTAACCTAAGGCTGAAACAGGAGTAGTCACAGATGCTCTTTTTATTTAATGAAACAGCAGTTGATAGCTTTATTTTGTACCCCGTCTTGCCTGAGTTACTCCTGGGATGGGGATGGGGTTCTTGGTGGGGAGTATCCTGTTACTAAGGGGACTATCAACTGCGAAAAGGACTTTGTGTTTAAAAAAGTATTCTCCTCCCTTTTTCGAGGATCCCTTTGCTAGAGCACTGTTATTCAAAAGTGTGATCCTCGGATCACTTTCTTTAGAACCACTTGGCTGGATCCATAGTAAAAATGCACATTTTGGGGCCAGTCCCTAGACCTGTGAATCTTAGTGGAAGGGCTGAGAAAATCCCCTTGTAATTCTTTTGCAGTTAGCTTATTCCTGGACTTTTCAGGAACTTAGTACTCATGAGAACTATAGATGACAGCAATTTTTCTGTTTAGATGGGGAGATAGAAGAAGACATGAGGGAGGTGATAAGAGTATAATGGTTAAAAGGTAACATCAGTTAAGCACAAATTAATTTGAGGGAATTAAGTATTAAGAATCTGAATTCTGTAAGAAGATACAGATAATAAAAAGCATTGGAAAGGTCCATTTAGAAAAAGCAGAAAAGGACAGTTTATATAACAAACACCTATATTTGCACCACCCATCATGAACAAATGCATTAGAATGTCATGTGTTCTTTAGCTCTTTCTTTCTCTCTTTCTCTCTCTTTTAAAAAATGTATACATTTTCAAATGGTTTGGCTTTGGTTTTTTTGAGACAAGGTCTCGCACTATTCCACAGGCCAGAGTACAGTAGAGTGATCACAGCTTACTGCAGCCTCGAACTCCTGGCTCAAGTGATCCTCCCACCTTGGTCTCCCAAAGTGCTGGGATTACAGGCATGAGCCACAGTGCCAGCCCTTTTTTTTCCTTTCTTTTTTTTGAGGCAAAGTCTCACTCTGTTGCTTAGGCTGGAATTCAGTGATGCATTCATAGCTTACTGCTGCTTCAAACTCTCGGGCTCAAGTGATCCTCTTGCCTTGGCCTCCCAAAGTGCTGGGATTACAGACATGAGCTACCACACCCAGCCTTCAGCCCTCTTTTTATTTGGCATATATAGTGTAACTTTATGCCAAGCACTTTTCTAAGCACTTGATGTATTAGCTCACATCACATATAAGCTTAAGTGAGATGTATTCTCACAATAAGCTTATAAATTAGGTAATGATTTTTCCTTTGTTACAGATAAGAACACACTAAGGCACAGAGAGATTATAGTGTCACCCAACTAGGTGATGGAAATGAACTCCAATCCAGCATCTTGTCTCTGCTCTTAACCATTGTGTTAAACTACAGTCAAACTGTAGAGTGCAGTCCCCTCCTACCTCTGAGGCAACTATGGCCATAACAATAAATGCTTCTGTGTTTTGGAACATATTGAATTGTTTCGTGTAATGTTTTAAAAGTTTTTAGAAATGGTAAAATATGTCTGGGCGTGGTGGCTCTTGCTTATAATCCCAGCACTTTGGGAGGCCAAGGCAGCAGGATAGCTTGAGCCCAGGAGTGCGAGACCAGCCTAGGCAATATAGCAAGACCTCATCTCTATTAAGAAAAAAAGAAAGAAGAAGAAACGATATAGTATATATGTATTTGTGTGCATTTTTTTACTCTTATTTTTTAATTTGATCTGAATTCATATATGTAGATGAACATTTGTTTCTAACTGCTGTAATGTTTTTCTTTTTTTTTTCTCAACTTCTGCATGATGGTCATTTGAAATTTTTTCGTCATATAGCAGTTTATTGACATATTTTCCTACTGATGAATATGAATACTTATATGTTTCCAATTTTTGCTCTTAATATCTTTTTTTTTTTTTTTTTTGAGACGGAGTCTCCCCTTGTCACCAGGCTAGAGTGCAGTGGCATGATCTTGGCTCACTGCAAGCTCCACCTCCCGGGTTCACGCCATCCTCCTGCCTCAGCCTCTCGAGTAGCTGGGACTACAGGCAACTGCCACCATGCCCGGCTAATTTTTTTGTGTTTTTTAGTAGAGACAGGGTTTCACCATGTTAGCCAGGATGGTCTCGATCTCCTGACCTCATGATCAGCCCGCCTCGGCCTCCCAAAGTGCTGGGATTACAGGTGTGAGCCACCGCGCCCGGCCTTTGCTCTTAATTTCAAAGTTAATATCTTTGCACATGTCTCTTTTGCACATGTTTCTTTAAGATTTATCTATGGAAGTGTAGTCACTGGGTCATACCTAGTCTGTTAGCTTTCTTTACTTGACTACAGGACATTTTTCTTTAAACTCCATTAAATTGCTTTTGTTGTTAACTCTTGTTTCATATAATTGGTGGTTTACCAGAGCAACCACAAAATAGTTATTAAACATGTTGACCTAAACTAGTATCTCCATAAAAACTTTCCGGGCCAGGCGTGGTGGCTCACGCCTGTAATCCCAACAGGCGTGGGATTTGGGAGGCTGAGCCAGGAGGATCACAAGGTCAAGAGTTCAAGACCAGCCTGGCCAACATGGTGAAACCCTGTCTCTACTAAAAATAAAAAATTTGCTGGGCGTGGTGGTGGGTACCTGTAGTCCCAGCTACTCTGGAGGCTGAGGCAGGAGAATTGCTTGAACCTAGGAGGCAGAGGTTGCAGTGAGCCAAGATCACACCACTGCACTCCAGCCTAGGCTACAGAGCAAAACTCCATCTAAAAAAAAAAAAAAAACAACTTTCCAATGGCTATTTCCTATTTTCAAAACTTATAGAATAAATACATTTTAAAATTAATTTATTGATGAGAAGTTACCTTATTATAGATTAAGAGGTGGTATTATATCTGTATCATACTTCCGTTAGGTGATT